GCGCAGGCCCGGCGGAATCCTGGTCATTCTGCAACAACCCGAGTGAACAAGAGAAGCAGCACTAAAAAATGACAGCCTGTGAGCAAAGTTCTCAGAGTTGTTTCACTGAATGCGCGTAGTGTTGTTAACAAAGCCAGTTCCCTTGAAGACGTTATCTCCTGTTATCAGCCACACGTCTTAGTAATCACTGAGACATGGCTACATGCAGATGTGCAAGATTCGGAAGTGATACCGCCTTCTTACAAGCTTATTCGTAAAGATAGGGAGTCACGTGGGGGAGGAGTAGCAATCGCCATTAAAAGCAACGTCGCATTTACTCTTTTGGATGGCATCAACAACCACGAAAGTGTGTGGTGCAGAATTAAATTTCTTGGTAAAAGAATACTTTTAGGGGGCGTGTATCGACCACCGAGTTCTTCGCCCGAATACTTAGAAGCCATTCAAGACTACCTTGCAGATAATACAAATTCTCGATCCCGGATTATAATAACAGGAGATTTCAACCTACCGGGTATAAACTGGGCTGATTTTTCTTATGATGGCAAAGAATCTCGAAGTGCAGATATACTGATTACGACCGCATTCAACTTCTGCTTACAACAACTAGTTTCTGAGGCTACCAGGGTTGACAGTTCATCATCATCTCTCCTTGATTTGGCACTGGTTAGCAGCTCGTTCCAAGGTTGTTCAGCCAATGTAGAAGAAGGAATATCCGATCACAAGTTGCTTGCTGTGTTATGTCCTGTTTGAGGAACACGTTCATTCACTAGACCGTCAGATACTTTCTGAGAAATTACACTCATGCAGATGGTAACGCTATGTTAGAATACTTGGAATCGCGCTTTGATTGTTTTAGCCAAGTTAATGATGTCAATGAAATGTGGTCAAATTTTAAAGAAATTGTTCTCTTTTGCGAGCAAAGATATGTGCCGTTAAAAAAGAAACGAGTTAATAGGGAATATCCGTGGTTCACGAGAGAAATGATTCATTTGAAACGCAAAATTAAGCGTCAGCGCAAGCGTCGGAACACGAGTGATTTTCCAAGCCTTACTTCTAAGTTGCGATAACTAACGCGATCGGCAAAGCAAAGCTTTTTTTCAGATACTCTACCGTCATTCATGAAGAATGAACCCCGAAAATTCTGGCGCTATCTGTCAAAAGATAAACGAGGCATTTCAGAGATCAGGGTCGCGGGAGAAAGTATTGTTGACGCGACTACCATTGCCAACAAATTTAATGTCTTTTTCCAGTCCGTTTTTACACGGGCAGCCACGCATGCTCAGTTGCGGTCATATAACTCTGATAGCCTTATGCCAGAAGTGGAAATCACTGAGGATGGAGTCCTTTGCCTTTTACACAAACTAGATGTAAAGAAATCACCTGGTCCAGACGAACTATCTAATAGTTGTTTGAGTAGATATGCTGTTTGGGTGGCAAAATATTTACATCGCATTTACACTGCATCGTTAGACGCTGCAGTTATTCCTGATGGCTGGCGCTCGGCAAAAATAATTCCGGTACATAAATCGGGCTCCACATTGGAAGTTAACAATTACAGGCCTGTTTCCTTAACTAGTACTTGCTGTAAATTATTTGAGCACATTATATTTAAGGCCATGATCACTTACTTAGAAAATAACAAACTACTGTATGCCCAGCAGCATGGATTTAGGTCTGGTTTGTCGACCGTCACCCAACTGGCTGAAATAACTGATGATTTAATTAGAACGCTTAATTTGAAAGGTCAGACCGATGCCATCTTTTTGGATTTTTCTAAGGCCTTTGACGTCGTACCCCATCAGAATTTAATAATAAAATTATTAGCTATAGGCATTGAGCAGAAGGTTGTAGCATGGATCGCGAGCTACTTGAGTAACAGAAGACAGTGCGTTACCATAAATGGCTGTCTCTCGAAAGAGTTGGCAGTGCATTCGGGAGTTCCGCAGGGCTCAGTCCTCGGACCTCTTCTTTTTTTGGTTTATATTAATTATATTTATTTTTGTGCCGAGCCACCGATCCAGATTAAACTATTTGCGGACGACTGCGTATTGTACACATACATAAATAACCAAGAAGACCAAATTAAACTTAACGATGCCTTGCACTCAATTAACGAATGGTGTGTAAGGTGGGGACTAAAAATAAATTGTTCAAAAACAAATTCCATTACGTTTACCAACAAAACGTTACCCCTTCATTTCACATATTTCATGGGAAATGCTGCAATCACGAAAGCTGATCGGGTTAAATATCTGGGAGTTACACTTACCAGTAACCTCAGTTGGGAAACGCACGTTGAAAATGTGTGTTCGGGTGCACTTAAGAAATTATCCTTTTTGAAAAGAAAACTGCGTAACACTCCTCCCCGTTAAAACTAAAAGCGTATAAAACACTCGTGCGACCAAAAATTGGAGTATGCCGACATTATTTGGAGCCCTTGGCAACAATATTTGATTAAGAAAATAGAAAGGGTCCAAAATTTAGCTCTGCACTTTGTATATTCCACTTGCTCCCGACAACATAGTGTAACTAATCTACGTAATAGGGCAAGCCTACAAATACTAGAACAGCGCAGGATAATATGCAGATTAAAATTCGTCTGCCAACTTGATCACGGGGACTTTAAATTATCACGGGAACGATACCTTCAGCAGCCTTCTAAACTTTCAGCTAGGACAAATCACAACAAAACGTTTAGGCAGCCACCCAGCCACATTAATGCCCACAAGTTCGCTCTCTTTCCTCGCGCAATTTTTCATTGGAACGCATTACCTGCGGAAGTAGTGAATGCTGCCTCGACGGCTTCATTCACTCAACAGATAGAAAAGATTAATTTCACCATATAAGTGATGTATGCTGAAAATAGTGTCATTCGAGTGCAATTCATCCGGCTACAAATGTTGAAAATATTCTTAGTTGAGCGCAGTCTGTTGAACAGCGAGAAAATATAATTGACCTTTCTGTACTTGATAGTTATGTATTCTTTCATTTATGCCCTGTACTTCAGTGTATTACTAGTTATTGCTTGAATGTATTGTTTGTATCCCACTCCTGCATGGGCCCGGGTAGGGCCTGCAGTATCTGTAAATAAATAATAAAAGACGAAGTTGCACAATTTAAGCGGGTAATTGATTTAAACAGATTACTATTACTCTTTTTTCATATATTATTGAACTCTGTGTTCTTTGTTTACATGTATACTGCTGCCTTCACAAATGTCAATAAACAATGTAAGCTCACTTGCTTGGTGTGTTTTTGCCAGTGGAGACCTGTCGGTCTCCTGGCAGCATAGGGGAGATATTTATAGTAACGTTAGACTGCTGTGCGCGGGTATAACACCCTGCAACAGGAGTGAATAATACCCAAAACCCGCGGGCGCACACCATGACCACCCGCCCCCGCCACCAAAGCAGCCGTCATAATGCCTCAACGCAATGATCATGATAGTCCTAGCAGCGCCATTTCTAGGTCGGATAAGTTAGTTGAGAACGCCACCGCTACCTTTATTTTCGTTACACTGTCAAAGGTACAGTTTCCCTGCCCTAAATGGTAGGGTATAGGTGTTCTGTGGTTACACCAGCCAGTCAAAGAGCTGTTTCGCATCTAAAAACGCCAAGGCTGCCGCCCAATATGACGGCATCACAACCCATCCGTAATAAAGTATCTAACGCACACGCATCGTCACCCGTTCTACAGAAGAATACAGTCAAGGACGTCACGCATCACGAATGACTGAAATCTTCGAACATGCATGACGCCTTTATGGCACACTGACACTGTGCGTGACATACACTGGTCGGCCGAAAGCCAAGCGCACCGAGGAAATAATGCAGTGGATGTTGCATAATGTGTTACAGAGTGGCTCTGAATGGACACCTTTACCTCGCTGCCATAGCTGTCACGTGACATTCGTACCAATCGGGCAAGTTTCATGGAGACATAGAGGTAAACAAGAATATATAGAAGTCATATGATCTACCTGGTTATTATTTTCATCTCCATTTGCTCTTCTCGAGAGGTCTTAATAAGCTTGTAGGAAGTAGTTATGTGCGACACAATTATTAAGGGTTTATTTTTTAGGTGCGCGTTTGATTACATTATATAGCTTTATCTCTTTTTCCATTCTAAATGTTTACGGCTACTGATGCAGGACGAAGTTATGGTTCGCGTCATTTAATGCTGTAACACACCGTACATAGGAGACAGTTATAGTATACTGGGTTTACCGAGATACCGGGCGTACCGCGATAGCGGGAACGAAGTGCGCGTGCGCAGATACGTACGTTACCCGCACCGCTTACCGTATGCGCGCTATTTTTCAGAGTTAACGTTAGCGTGGTAGCGTAGGTAAACGTAGTGTACGTACAACATGGCGGTGCTCTTGGACGCCCGCTCCGAAGTGATTTTGTCGTAGTTGTTGATAGATTCCTTTTGTTCCAAGCAAACGACTTTTAAAGTAGCTTTTCGCTCCTCCAGTTAGCATTGATGACCGCGTAATACGAATACGTTGGCGTAGTTTTTGAGATAGGTTCCCATTTTGAACGCGTCTAGGCCTAACTACAATATCAATGTAAACAAATCGGCCACATAGATGTTTTCGTGTTTGGTGCATAGTTGATATCTATCTTGTAACGATGCCTTACGCGGTAGCATACTAAAGCATTCTTGTTTTAATTGCTTTTTCACTGTTCTTTGACTTATTAACCATTTATAAGGTGGCAGCACCATCTCAGCTGGGGCACGCAAACGATGTAAACGCTATCCCGCTAGAAAACAAGGAGCTCTCCCCATTGAACGTTTGCTGAATAGCAACGCCATTCACCTCACCTCCGCTATCACGCTAACCATAAACTATAACTGTCTAGTAATACGCTAAAATTGAGAGATTACTGCAATTACATGCCTATCCACAGGTATTGTAAACACTGTTTTTAGATGACATGGTAGTAATGTTATATGACGGGTGATAAGTTAGGGCATGCATTGAGGAATGAAGTAACGGTTATATTCAACGCACGCTGCTTCATCATGTCGTTGTCGCACAGCCACTCGCGACAACAGTTTCCGCGGAGGCGGACCAGCCTGGCATTTCGGCATTCGGCCGACGGCCGCACTCCTTCGTGGGGACAGAGAGAGACGCATCCGTAGGTTCCGTTCTGACAGGAGCACTGGGTGCGGCAGTCCAGCTTGAAGGTGGCACCATCCTTGTACTGGCCGAGGCCTTCCACTTGGCACGACTGGCCCTGCACCACTGCACCGGACACAACACAAAACACTTCAGCGTTCAGCAATTCTTTGTTTGTTGAACAAACTGTTGTGCCATAGTTGGTTATTCATGATCACTTTAAGAACAAGTGCTAATAATTTACGAGTCTACAGAAAAATATAGCAGACAAAAAACTTTGGGTACTAACAACTGTTTATTGCGTCACAGCGAGCCAGTTTATGTGCGCTTTCGTGGTGCTGCGCATAGGCTACGTGGCATTGAAATCGCAAAGCAAAAGAAAAAGTAAGACAGCAAAAACAAGCTCAAAGTGGCAGTACCAGGTGCAATGAAAATTAAACAGTTTGTTTTAGCACCAGTTTTTTTTTTCGTTTTCATTGCTCTTTTTTCTCTGTGCTGCTCGATTTTTATCGCCCAATCTTCTAGTCAGCCAGGTTGTTACCGCGCAGAATTTCTATGGGAAGATTAGACTTGTCAACGGCACGGCAAAAAAAAAAACACAGTAACACTTTTTTTGCACCCTTATATGTGTAAAAAGAGTGTTTTCCAAACTTACACTCTTTTCAAATTAGTATACCAGCCTTTTTTTGCTGGTACAATCTGAAAGAAGGGTGTGAGTGGCATAAGGGTGTTATTACGCCGTTCGTGAGGGTGTTGAAAAGCTGAAGGGTGTGCACCTATAATTGCAATAAAAATTGTTCTGTTTAACATCCCACGGTGGTCATAAAATCATGAGAGACACCGTACTGAAGGGTTTCGAAAATTTAAACCACCTGGGGTTACTTAAGATGCACATAAGTCGAACTACACAGGTCTCGAACAATTTCATCTCCACCAAAAATGTGGCCGCCGTGAACTGCCGGGATTCGACCCTACGACTTGCGGGTCAACAGTTAAGCACTATAAGCACCAGACCATAAGCACCATAAGCACCGGCGCCGGTTGTGCACGTGCAATAATCGAGCTGCATCCAAGCTTCAAGTTAAAATCCCATGCAAAGCGCAACATGCCTGTTGTACTGCCATTCTAAAGATAACACTGTCGTAGGGATGACCAAATCAAGGAAATGATTCAGGCAATGGCACATTTTACAGAACACTCTAAGAATAGTCGAGAAAATGTAAAAAAGAATAGCTTTTTTGCACTTTGATTCGACATGCTTTACCCCATTATATCGTGCACATTAAATGTGAATAAATGAATGGGCTACTGCCACGATCTACGGACAGCACACATTCATGTGAAGAAGCAATTGAGAAAAAAGCTTGAAATTATTACAGAAACCCTTGCTTGGTCAAAAGCCTTTCGAGCGCAAGTAGTTTTCACAAGCTTCTCGAAGATGAGACGTGCTTGGTCGAAAATGAAAACAATTCAATACCTTCTGCAACCATGCGGGAGCACGGAAAGTGATTCTTTAGGTCAAGAAATGAAGTTTGGAGAATGGCACGGTCAGCGCACGCAGCGGTAGCAGCGCACTTGCGGAACGAAGGGTATAATGGCATGAGAGGAGGCAATGTTGGTTCGGTGAGCCCGATGCTTCCACAAGCGAGCAAGGCAAAAAGACGCATTACTACAAGAGATGCGCCAGCCATGAGTACGTATTTTAAACAGAATGGTAATTATTTCAGATCAAATATAAGATGTATGAACCAATAAAACATCAACCAATAAAACTGAGTCACAGGTTATGGCGTGTGGTTCGAACTTACAGCATGGGCCAAAGTACAATGAGAAAGACGCAGTGAACTGCGTTGAGACCCGCTGTAGTATAGTTTTATGGCTGCAGGGCACACACCACTAACTCCAGGCCGCTTTTTTGATTACTGACCAAGGGACCCACACTATGATGGTGGCAAAGTGTTAACAACACTCATGTGCCTGGTGCCTGAATTTAGCTGCACGTTAAAACACTCGGGATGGGTATATTTCTCGCTACAACGAGTCTCTTAATCATAGCGCTGCTTCCTCCTGTATACGCGCACGAAAAACTATCCCTAACTAATGTTTTGAACAAAAATACAACGTGGCACCTACGCTTTCTTTCTAGACTGCGCGATAAACCCGCCAGGTGGTGTAGTGGTCATAACACCTTACTGCTCACTCATACGTTACGAGAAAGAATATCGGCAACTGCGACCGCATTTTATTCTATGAGTATAAAAGTACCTGAGGTCTGTGTACTTAGACTTTGGTGCACGTTAAAAAAGAAACCAGAGGTGGCGAAATTCCCGGAGCACTCCACGGCGGTGCCTCTCATAATCGCATCGTGGTTTTGGGGCGTCAGTTGCTAACAAACTGTTATAAAGTGCGCGACACATTTCCGTCATTCTCACGAAAGCAGTGGCGATAACAGTCGTAAGGCTGGCTAATGCATTGCTGTGTCATCGGCGCATAAAAGAAACTGGTGATCATGTATGGGTGCTCACAAACCAGAGCTGCAGAACGGACGAGCAAATCATCTCAAAAAGTTATTTGGCGTTGACTCGATAAAACGATATATGCTTGCAACGGTTCTATAGTTAGAGTTCATGATGCGTGTTTCCTATGGAATTCAGTGAATGTTATGTTTTACGCGACTGAAAAGATTTCAGGTATGACGACTCTGCATCAGTAAATCGTTACATGCATAGTGGAAATTCAACGCCAATGTTTTGTAATACTACTTTCTTGATTAGGCATCCCTCACCTCCTCCCACACTAATTCTTGATTCTTCGAACATTAAGTTTTTTCTTGCTAAAAAATAGAACTGCCAGGGGGAAATAACGCTTATAATTTCGCAATGAAATAAACATTCGCAATAGTAATATCACCGTCCAAAGCAGTGCTGGCGCTTACTGAATTCACCCTACTGATGAAATGGAAATCACTACCGCAATAAATACTGTACACAATTGAGGGTCACTGCAGTTTTGTGCCCCAATTCCGTGCCGTAGTTCTTCCCAATAGCACGATCTAATTTAGCCATGGTAAGTATTGTCGTTTTCCGTGACTCATGCAGCGCACACACGTGCAGTACAAGCAAGAACGCATTCATACAGTGATGTTCCGCGTGGAAAGAATTCCATGTAACTTCTTACTTTTGTTGCGCCTGTATACTGGCAAAGTTGTCACAATAAATTATTGGTCAAAGGAGCACGCATGCGTTTGAGCTTGGGCAATCGTACCTTTGTTTATCTAAAAGCACGAAAAGTGACATCGCTGACAGATTTAATTTACATTGACATAGGCTGCCTTGCACACAATTGTCATTTACTTTCATGTTTACGCATGGTCTACGACAGTTCACGTAACGTTCGAATGATGAGACATCGTTGAATGGAGAACTGCAGCATTAGACTAAGAGTGGTTTCCACATCACTTCAACCTTCCATTTTGCCCTGAACTTTTGTCTTGTTTGCCCTAACAATTACACATTTTATCAATTCTCTGAATAGGAGCATGCACCTTGATCACGCCGAATGCAGCAATAAAGGTATTTAGAATCTTTGGCGTATCGGCAGAAAAGTAAAGAAGCAATCTCTCACGTGCATTGCCATGCGTGCTGGATTGATATGTATCGCCTGCTGCCTGGCCATGTGCAGATGCGCATTTCTTTCAACTTTTTTTCTCCCCGCAGCTGTGCGCCTTTTCTGATGCAAGTCGGCGATCGTGTTGTGCTTGTGTTTAATCACGCCCTTTGACAACTAGCACAGCTCTCTTTCAATCTGAGTAGATTCTTCCTTTTTTTCCTGCCCTAAACGCACATACAGGTTCGCCAGTGTTTTTAAATATTGTTAGTTGGGTAAGGGGGCGCAGTCGCAGCGGTGAGGAGCGGCCCCCTCTCATATCCCGCGCAGCGGCGGCGCTGCTGCCGCTTTGGGATCAGTGAAAAAGCGTCGTCTGCTATCTCGGTATGCGAAACAGCGTGAAAGTCGATTCCGAACACGCGGATTTTGGCTAAAGCAGCTAGATGAGGGTCGAATCCATACTACTTAGTGATAAATCAGGACCACGCTTGTACCTAACAGATGTATGAATAATTCTGTGCCTGCAGTGAATCAGTAGGGTGGCCAGGGTGTCGCACACCGGGCCTGTGCCATTATCCCCTCCCCCCCCCCCCCGAAAACGAAAAAATCTTTCCCGCTATTCTTTACTGAGCAAGAAGTGACACACTCGACCACACTTGCTTGTCGGGCACCGACTTCAGATCAAGGTGAATGGTGACCCTAGCCCCGCAAGAAATTCTCCCTGCGCCTCTGCAATAAATACATGGCGTTCAGCTGCGCCTTCGGGCTGTGGTTGATTATATAAAACAAGCCTGTTATAATTGCACACCGTATAAATTCCGTGTTAGAAACGTAGAAATGGTTGTGCTTTTTTTTTTGAACACCTAAGAGATAATAGACAGGCCACACTCACACTGTTGCGAAAATTAGCGCCACAACCTTGCTATGCTTTATATCGGTAATTTCTCTGGGCTCACAGCGGGCACAGGTGGCATAAGTGGTATACTTTTTATGCAAAAGAGCCTTTCACGGAGAAGATACTTCAATTGTAGCCGAAATAATCTGAGAAGAAGAAAAAGGCTTCAAAAGTAAAGGAAAAAAGCTTTAAAAATTGAATAAAGTGAAAAAGATGACAGAGTACTTAATTTATTGGTATGTGCGGTTTAACGCCCCAGAACCACCATATGAATTTGAGAGATGCCGTAGTGGAGGGCTCCGGAAATTTCAACCACCTGGGGTTCTTTAACGTCCACCCAAATCTGAGCACACGGGCCTAGAACATTTCCGCCTTCATCAGAAATGCAGCCACCGCATCCGGCATTTGATCCCGCGACCTGCGGGTCAGCAACCGAGTACTTGGCCACTAGACCACCGCGGCGGGGCAAGTTTTCAAATAACATTTATTTGCAAAAGCATTTTCGCAAACTGTATTTACCATGTGACATGACGACCAAGCATGCTTGAGTGAATTACCAGTTTAACGTAGTAAACAAGTTGACCTGCAGCCGATAGTTATAGCGCTAGAACAAACGGACGACACAGAGACAAGAAGGACACGAAGAAAACGAGCGTAGCGCTCGTGTCTTTTGTGTCTTTCTTGTCTCTGTGTCATCGTTGTGTTCTCGCGCTATAACTATCGCCATGTCATACCAACTAGCCCAAGCTGCCACACTTCTAAGTGACCTGCAGCGTGCCGGGCTGTCGAATTGGCTATGCCTCCAAAAAAAACCCTCACAAAAAGTGCTTCTCTTTATTTCTTTATTTCAGCGATAGGCGCTTGTAGTTGTCCATGTTTTTACGTGAAAAGTTTGATAAATTCCCAGTGCGTCGGCTCGAGAAAAATTACTAAACTGGTGTCGGTGTGTTTGTCACCCGTGAAAAAGAGCGTAATTATTTCTTCTCAGTTAAATTTTCGTATCCGTGCATTACGCTACTCTGGCGGCAGAACAGCAACATACGTAGCTATTTTCTGTGTTTGTACTAGCTACATACGACCAAAAGGATAGTTCATTAGGTGCCCGGAAATAAATGGAAACTTTGTTTTTGAATTTGGGCATGTGAGAGGCGCAAAATACGAGAAATACATAAATTGCCCTAAAGATTGTTTCATCATGTCAACAATTCACTTAGATTTATTATATGTTATATTTATTCGTTCAGCAGGGTTTCGACGTACAAGATACTATTATGAAGCTTCCTCGGAAATACACGGCCTGGAAAAAAACTACACCATCTTCCGCTCAAGGAAATTGTGTGTAGATGCAAAACAGTGGTCACCTAACGCTTACACTGCCGGCGGTGTTGACGTTGGCACTCATCGCAGCGGTGCGCAGGAGAGAAACCTGGCGAGGCGCAAAGCGCGCTGTGATGGACTGGGGCATCCTACTGGAACAGGTCAATTTCTTCCTATATGCGATCAGAGACAGTAGACTTCATTTGGACACAGAGACCCGCATTCCGCTTTTAGTAAACGTTCACGCTGTGAACATTCATCGTTCAACAACGCACAGAAGAAATCTCCCATCGGCACTACATTTGAGGTCAAGATCCGGTGCCTATATATTCGGGGCGGCCAGAGAACGGTTATGCAGCGCGATAAGTCAATTTTTTCTATCAAGAAACCCGCTAGCAGGTGCTGCCTCCGTCGGCGTAGTAAGGTGAGAGAGGGGGCCGCGTAGGAAATGAGGAATAAGGGGACGGACATGCGCAAGGGGGGGTGTGAACGCTGTGGGAAGGGATGCCTACAGGAGAGATAAGGACAGCGTAGGAGGGGAGAGAAAGAGGGGAGAGAACGCGCATGCGCAGTGGCACACGGACGCCGCGGGATAATACTAGCTCATAAGAGATTTCGCATCTAACACATGGACTGCTGTTCAGTACAGGACTCACTTCGCACTGCATCTAGGTTGTTCCGCGTTCCCACGGATGCTCTTCCTAGGCACATGGAAAACTGGAAAAATCTCTCAAGCTGTTCCCAAACGCATCTTGGAATTACGTTTTATTAACGTATCACCAATACCGAAATTTACAAAAAGCGCTTGAAAATTTGAATTTCACACAGTTTTAAAGCCCGGACGATGAACTAAAAAAACACAACGCCCGTCCAGTTCTGCATCTAAGCAGCAAAAAGAGACCAAACAGCTGCGTCAGATCTTATCTAGCCTCTAATTAATAAATAAGGCAATAAATTAGCAACTAGGCTCATGAAGACTCCGCGTGGTCTCACAGAATGATTTTCAAGTGCTTTATTACGAAAACTTCACGAAAAATTTTTTTCACAATGTTTGATTTTACTCCACACATCGTCTCGTTTTGCTTCGCTGGTTCGGGTTAAATGAGACATATAGTGCATTTTTATTTCTCTTCGAAATAAACTTTTGGACAGTGGCAACACGGTCACATTCATATAGGATATACCTTGTACCTTAATGAAAATTTATGCATAAATGTTTTATGTAAACGAGTTAAATAGAAAAAAAAGATTGACTATTAACTAACTTTTTTCACATGTTCCCCCACCTGACCCTATTAGTTATAAATTGTGTGGTATTGCGTGCAAACGTCACGTAATCCTTCTGAGGCACGTCGTTGAAGGCGATATGGAGGGGTGGAGGCGGATGCATTTTTGATGGCAACCTGGGGATCTTTGACCTGCGCTTAGGCTCAAGTACACGCAGATGTTCCTGCATTTCGTCACCGTCACAATAGCCCGAGCATTGCACAAGACGAGGTTGCACCACCATACCCTTGCAGGTGCCGACCGAGGCGTTTCTGTCAGGGTAAACGCAGTGCAGCTGCCGCCGGGCATCGCACAGCTGAACGGCGTCGCAGGTGTCTCCTTGCTGTCGAGCACAGATGCTGCAGCAATTGCAGCCATCGCGCACCAGGCTCACGCCCTCGGGGCAGTGGGCCGATTCGCTGCCGCCTTCTTGCGGCCCGCTGCTGCTGCACCGGCACGATGGGCCGCACTGCACTGCACCCTGCATACAGGACATTTATGGCTGTTTACAAACAACGCTTTTAGTTACTTATCAAAGAGGTTGAAGGTGAACGAAACAGAAATGAAACTGAGTGAAGAAAACGCAATGTTTAACCGGAGCACTACCGAGAAAGTGGAATCCCTAAATATTCCGACAGTTTTTTTTTGCAGCTCATTATAAATGTGCAACCCTGTTTTGACATGAATAAAACAGAAAATACTTCCCAATACTTGAGGTACCTTAAACGCTTATCGCTGATTTGAAAGCGTAGAATGTGGGGCCTCGGTTGGTTGAATCAGTATGGCTTTCTCTTTCTGACATTGTAGACGTGGCATGAAACTTCCACTACGTTGTCCTGCGCGCACATAAACACACACGCACACACACGCACGCACGCTCGCTCGCCCACTCACTCACTCACTCACTCACTCATTCACTCACTCACTTACTCACTCAACCTACCAATTAGTAACATCATAGCACATACACACACGCGCGCGCGGAGTAAGAGAGACAGACATACAGATATAGCATATACCTAGCCAGTGCCTCAGACAGAAGTGCTGGCCTAGCTCACGTGAGCAGGGCTCTAGAATGGTGTTTTGGCCAGCACAGACCTCTTTTGCGGCAGTTGCCATCTACTGTGTCTTCTGAGAGGAATAAAGTTGTGCTGCGGTTAACTTCAAGCACGGATCTGCCCATCAGTGGATTGTATCTTCACTTCTCATAGTTATTTATCTCCGCCCATTCGTCTACACATGTTGAGCTATGCTCGGCGCTAGTGCTGCATAAATAGCACCTCTTCATGACCTCGTATTCCTGCGGCGTTCACTCGCACGATGTGAGAGCAATTATTTGAGGCACAAAACTGTTCCAACTTATCTATGCTTATTTGTCGCGAACGGCTGACACGTATTTTTACAAAGCAACCACAGACATCTGTTCCTATGCCGCGGAAAATACGCAACGATACAATAGCACGGCCAATAATATGTTGCGTGCAGGCATGCGTTTCTCTGTTGTTACTCGTGCAAGTGCTCCATATAGCTGAAATATCGCCACACTTTCTGGGAAATAAATGCATAAAGATGCGTACAAGAAGAAGGCCTTTACAAAAAGTATATTCTTTAAAAAGCCCCCCCCCCCCCCCGCCACGTAGGTCTAGTGGCTATGGTACTGTCCTTCTGACCCATAGACCGCGGGATCGAATCCCGACTGCGGCGGCTGCATTTTCGATGGAGGCGGAAATGTTGTAGGCCTGTGTGTTCAGACTTGGGTGCACGTTAAAAAACCCCAGGTGGTCAAAATATCCGGAGTCCTCCACTACGGCGTCACTCATAATCATATGGTGGTTTGGGGACGCTAAACGCGACATATCAATCAATCACCATCAATCAGTTCATTATTTTTTTTAAGTAGAGGTCTTTTGTAGGTCGGCAAGCACCAGCACGTCCCCACAGCTTGTTTACGTACATCAAAGCTGCACATGGCCATGTTCAAGCAACGTTAATTTTATATGGTGGTGTTTTGCGACGTTAAACCCCACATATCAATCAAGCAACGTTTATAAAAACCTAGCTCCAAAGTTTCTTTTTCAGATGTCTGTTTTCGTGACCCCCTTCAGAGACAAGTGACTTACTTACATCGTCGATGAGCCTCAATTTTTTTTATCTGGGTTTGTTCCCGAGATGTCTCATCACGTTCTGAATTTATAAGTATCTTAGGTAGTAGCGGGCCGCACGAACAATCATCGGAACCCGTCCTCTCAATGTGCACGCCATAAGAAAGAGAAGGCTGCGTTTCATCTCATTCGCAATGCCTAGCATCGCCAAATATGCATTCCACAGACAGCGATAAACAGCAAGCTTTCTCAAACGCAAGTACACGACGGCGGAACTTTAGTGGTGCATAAAGTCAGAATGCAAAAGTTAGAAACGTTTTCAAAACAAAACAAAGACTCCATACGACTGCTCACTTTTTTCTTCGCTAAGCGAGCAATTCTTCACTCCGGCTTTCTTATACTATAGATAAATCGGTGGCTTTTCCTATACACTTTGTATGTACGTCGTAGCAGACTCGGGGTGTTGGAAAACATTGGTGCTTATGTGTGCGACGCTGACGGTGCCGTCACGTTATGGTCACTATATATCTGTATATTCGTGCCAAACTTTTTTAGCACTTTCACAAAAAACTGAGTCCGGCATGCAAATGGGGAGGGACAGAGAACCGAAGTGCGAAAGGCAAGAAGGCTACGCAATGGCATGCTGATCAATTGATAAGCTAATTTGCGTTCCTTAATCACTTGCATCTCCTCGAAGCGCGCTCTATATAATAAACGTGTTAGGCCATACTATACGTGAAGTACAGTGTGTGTAAAGGACGGTTAGACAAGAACACAATGCAGGGGAATACATATTTATTGTGCAATGATCAAAGCCCATCGAATAAATCCCCGTGTCTCACTTTTTGCCTGTCTTTCGTTGGCTCAATACTTGTGCATAAGCAAAAGAAAAACAAGCGCAAAAAAACAGTTGATCACAGTGAAATGAACAAGGGCCTCGCACGTATTCTCCTCGGAGCTCTTGCAACGAGGTAATCACATTCCAGCGGGACGATTTTGCGAAGGCAATTTGCACGCACAAAGCCTTTGCACGCAAAGTACGTGTTTAGAATTGCGAACTGCGTCGTCACTGGCCCGCTACGTGTCACGATTTTCGGAATATTCACGGGCACATTGTTTTCTTATCAGTTCTTTCATTCTTTTATTGCTATGGTTTTTCATTCTCCGTGGTTTCTGTTACTTTTGTGCCGCACAGGAGCAAGTGGCGCTGCATTATATGCCCCGCATGCGGGGCAGCTTTTCTATCGCCTGCGCTTTCTTCAGTCAGTTGTAGCGACGAAATACTTATGTATTTATCTTTTAATAATTTCTCGCTGTTTATATTCAGACCACGTCTGTTGCGTAAACAAGAATGAACTCCCTACGGTTCGGCGAGGGAACCGTCATCTCAAGGCACACGCTCAGAAAAAAAATTGTCAGCCTTCACTTCTACTATTACTCGAAGTCTTCGGCGCACTGACATAAACAACACAAAGAGAACGTGCGCTTTTCTTTAGGGCTCCGCTCGAACTGGTCTACAGTGAGTCAACATCGAGTATGCTATTCTCGGCATTTTAGTGGGTCTCTTTTGAGCAACTCACGGCATTTTCCTTTCAGTCACCGGGGGCGCGTGTGCGGATTCTGATCAGCGTGCAACTTGCCGGGAATCTGTTTACGCCTAAGAGTAACAGGGTTCCGCGAAATTGCGAAAGACGGCTTGAAAATAAGTCGCGTTTTTTTCAACATTTGCGGAGTTTGTTTAAGAAAAGAGAGAAATTTTTGTTTAATTGCTGTCGTCGACTAAGCGGCGACTTGTATAGGTGTTGCTACGCACTTGGCTGCGAAAACCAGCGGGTGGGTGAAGATGCCGGCGCAAATGTTAGCACAACTGTGCCTGAACATTTATTTTATCAAACAAAAAAGTACACGCCTCGTTGTACTGTACAGCTTGCCGCATTTTCAACTGCCGGAGAGAGTGCGAACCGTTGCTGTGGCACCATCCATTCAAAAACGTTGGATTTTACTTTTCGTGTTTATACTGTGATGCCGCAGCACCACACGATGCCAGTAATCTGGTAACCGATTTTGTGCATAAAAAGAGAGAGACAGAGAATATCCATTGAATGTAATCTAAAGAAGCAAAGAAAAGTTTGCCACTGGGGAAACAGTTTTTTTTTAAGACGATACGTTTTACAGAAGAAGCGAAATTCGTTTTGTCGGTGATTTTTCTTTGTTAAAAATTATGACGTTTCAAGGAATTCTACACTACGCTGCTTTAGTCTTTAAGGAATTAATGGCGATGGTGAAAACGTCACGCACTAAAACGGTGTATTTACCATACCGGATTTGCCGTAAGCTCAACACAGATTTCGAGTTCTGAGCAATCGCAGGTGTCAGAAAAAAGAAAGAAAAAACTTTGACTTTAACTATACTTCTTTCTTTACCAATAAATCAATGGCTTGCAAATGAAAAACGAGAAATATGAATTTTTTGAAATTCGACAGATGCAACGTATATATCTTGGTAAATCAATGTTATGGGATGCATGCGCATAGAAGGTGAGTTTGTTGTAATTTTTTTGCTGAGCGAAACTTACAATGTGGCAATAACGCATGTTAAACAGCCACATATACTTCATATTTCTACTTGTTTACAGTTGCGTAAGGATGAAAAGAGCAACATGAATGTGAGCAACACCAGAAGCGGTAAGCTTCGCTGGTGCTTGCGAGGATGGTAGCTTTGAAGACTACTGCATAAATCAACTTCAGCGAATGGTGCCTATTCACTATTGACGTAAACCCCACAGGACCGCTGTATCATAGCAGTACATATTGTTGTGACTGGCACCACAGCTGACGAGGGAGCGGCGCTCTTTTAATCCTCCAACAAGTACCCGAAGGGCCAGTTGCCTATGTCCGCCATTTAGTGTCCCTCCTAGCCGGAGGGTGAGGCGGCCTGTCGCCACGACGCCGTAAGCGGTTCCGGAGAAGAGAAGTGCGGCGTCTTCCTTGAAAGATGCCGCGGTGGCAGGCGCGAACCGCTCCGCTAATTTAGTAAACAGATCGGCGGACACTTTGATGCATGCTGTCATAAGCTTTGGACCCCTAAACCAGCGGCACACATACGACGATGAAGAACTCCACTGCCGCCACCTTGGAGTGCAGTGATCACGCCTCAATATTGGACGTCCACGTGGGGCATGCATGCTTGTCCCCCTTGCCAGTTGTGTGATCTGTGATTGGACAGTATTGTCTGCACATGTTTCCTGATGTAGGAATCTCGGGAGAACATACCCTTTATAATGAGCCACCTGGCTCATTGGAAGGAGCGCTTGTAGAGGAACGAGATTCGAGAGCTTGGTATGTAAGAAAGAGCTCGTCATGTACGAGAGCTCACCATG